TATATATATATATATATATATATATATATATATATATATGATATTGAAGTTCCAACCAATATATTTTAAATATTATTAAAAAATATTATTGAATTACAAATAATTGAGTTATGGTGGAACCACCCAAAATTAATTTTGGCATTTGCCATCTCTTTCTTGTCATGTTGGTTGATGCCTTTTTACTTCTCACCAAATTTAGTACATGATTTAATATTTGTTATAATTACAGTTTTTTAATCACATAGAAGAAATTTTGTGTAATTTTTTTTATTAACTTGAATATCCAACCCGTTATACGAGCCGACTAATCCTAGAACAATCACCTGTTTTATGAGTAGTCCGGAGTCATCGCATGTGAACTCGTGGCCACAAAAGGATTATTATTCTTCCATGAATTTGAACCTGAGATTTTCAGACACTTTTGAACTTTGAAGTCTACACTCTAACTAATCAAGCTCCACCTTTGTAGTTAATTTTTGTAAAATTTGATATTAAAAAGACGACAATTAACATAGGGATAATGTTAAATTATGAATCAGTTATTAATTAACTAGAAGGGTACTCGCACAATGCAGCGAAATAAATCTTCATTTTAATGTTTAGTTTTTATTTTTTGTCTCTATCGATATAATACAATTTTATGTGGTTTTGAGAAAGCGATAATGTTTTTATTTTTGAATGAAATATAAATTTGAAGATAGCATAAAAAAATTAAAATAAAATAAAATAAAATAGATATTAGTATCAAATTAACTATTTAATAGTTCTCGTTTTTTGGTGTACATTCTTTAATTTAATTTAATTTTTTATTATAATTTAATTTACGTCTAATAACAAAGTAATTTATTTTTGGTTTAATAATATAAATTTTATTAAAGATAATAATTAAATATTATGTTAGAAACTCAATGATTATCTTAATTATATTTTAGATTTTCTATATTTAAAATAGATGTTTATCATGTATTTGATTATGTTTATCTGCAGTTAGTTACACGAATTGAAAAATGAAGCCTTAATAAGTTGTACTTACGCAAAATCACTTGTAATCTTGAATTTTAAGTAATATGTATTAATAAATACTACTTAATGCATAAAAATTGGATTTTAAGAGTTCTTATCAAATGGTATATAATATAGTATTAGTATAGATAATTTATATTATATAACTTAATAAAAGGGAATAAAATAAATATAAATATAAATACACAAAAATGTTTTTAATAATTGATTGTTACTTTTGCAAGGGCAAAAACATGAATCACGTAGTTAATAGAAAAGGGTCCCATTTGTCACTATGCCAAATGGTACAAATCATCACCAACACATTTGTTTCAATAACTTGGGGAGAATACATTTATTGGTTAAGCCTCGTTTACCAAACATTTATCGGAGTAAACATTTACCAAGTCAAATTATCTCATCGGATGAATATGGTACGGACCAAGAATCTTACCCAGTAAGAATGATATAGAGACCAAGAGTCTTACCCTGTAAGTAAGAGCGACGACTCTTACCACGGTAAACGCTTACCGTGTAAATTATTACATACGATTTCGTTTTGGTGGACTAAAATCTTACCCGATAAGTAAATAGTAATGTTAAATTTTACAAGTAGTAGACTAAAAACACCATTCACCCCATTTACGAGTTAAAAAATGTACACGTCATATTAACTTAAATACAATCAAAACAACACAATATACCATGAATTTCGATTTTAGGGTTTATTATTAATCAAGCCAAGAGCCAAAAATCCTTTTGCCGTTTGGTTGTAATGAGATAACCACCAACTCTTTTACTCTTACGCCGTACAGCCACCGCCATACATGTAGCATTTTGAACACAGTAATCCACCATCCCACCGCCACCGACTGGTCTACCTGCCCATGTCAACAACAGTCGCCATGAAAATAGCTGCTTCTTTTGCCCTAGAACCAACATTGTCACCTCTTGTCGTTTCGCTTCCTCCACGATGGTTCTGCCTTTCTCTTTGCCTTCCACCATCGATATCTCAACTTCTACCTTCAATCACAAAATCACAAGAAATGATGTCGCTACCATAAGAGCTGAACTTAAAAAGCTCAGAGGAATTGAACAATACTCACGTCTGAACGTTTCAGCTGACATGAGTTTTTCATAGAGCAAAGAAAACCTGGAACTTTCACAGGTTTCTCGTTAGGCAATTCGTTTCCTGTATCAAGAAGCAGAAAACGACAGTCGTATACTCGATAGTTTTGTCGTGAAATAACTACTGAAAAAATGGCGAGATTCTAACGAACCTTGTTTGGAAGTAATCTTCTTGACGTGTAGAAGAACTACAATGTCATGGCTCTGAACCGTATGCGTTAAGGCCCATTGTAGGGCGTTTCTAGCTTCGATGCTTGAATCAACAACGATCATCACTTTCCTACCAACAGTGTTTACAGGTTTCTCAGCTGTATCAACATCTTCAGATTTACTCTCTTGTTCATTGGAATGACTGACGGAATCTTCGGTTTTGTGATCGTCGGTTTTAATGGAAGAATCTGCATTCTCTTTCAGTTGTATAGTCGGCGAACGTACTCTAACGTGTGGCCTGATTTTTGTGAGGCAAAAAGTTGGCATTTTGGAGCCATTTTTGACCATGTTTTCTTGTTCTTCTAAGTATGATGGAGAAGAAGGAGAAGAAGAAGGATTAAAGGGGAAAAGCAAGAATGGGTAGAGAATTATTTATGATAGGCTTTGTTGGGGCCTATCTTGTCTTTTTGCTTTTCATTTTTGTAAAGTAATTATAATATAAATTATATATATTTATAATTAATTATTTTTTTAATTAACAAACATATTTTATATGTAATTTTATATTAAAAATCATGACAAATTTTTTATTGAAAAATTTATTAAAATAGTCAATTTTTCAGGGTTGATTTCACCTTTTTTTTAAGTGTTTTTCTTCCTAAGTTTATTAAAATAGTCATAGGTCTACAAAACTTACATATGCAATGGGGACCCATCTAAAAAATAAAAATAGTTTACACTTTCTACCTTTTTTTGTAAAAAAAATTCACATTTCCCATCCAGGTCCGCAAAAAAATTTACATTTCTCATACAGGTACGCAAAAAAAAATTAAAATTGTGAATCTAAGGTTATTTTGATAAACCTTGTAAAGAAGTAGTGGCTAAGAGGTGAAATCAACCAGTAAAAATGACTATTTTAACTAATTTTTCTTTCTTATATCTATCAACAAATTATATATATGCATACATAGATAGGGTTAGGTTCACGTGAGACCAATGGTTTTTCGTGAGACCCGTAAGACCAATTTATGTTCATTGATCAACTTTATAAGCTAATGATCTAGTGGTCTAAAGTTGTACGGTGACAATTTTATGATTATTGAGAAGTCTCGTGACAATTTTGTGATTATGAATGTTCAGATTGTAGATCTAATCCAATGATTAAGAATTGGTCTTACAGGTCTCATTAAAAACCCTAGGTATCACATGATCCCAAGTCTATATATATATATATATATATATATATRTRTGTGTGTGTGTGTGTGTGTGTGTGTGTATGTATGTATGTTTAGGACAAACAACTTTAAAAATAAAACATATTTGTATTTATTCTTATTTTGATGTATATTTTTATTTAAAATTTGACATCTTAAATATTAATTAAATATATTTGTTTTCATTTCTTTCTTTTTGTTTTGCAATTAAAAATATGTGATGTTTATTAAATTTAATATAAAATTAAAAAAATAGTAAAAAATGATTAAGATACCTTTCATTTAACTGGACTTAACGAAAAAGTTAACGATCATTACACAAAAGAACCAAAATTATTAGGGAATTGACAAACGTGAGGGACCAAATCCAAGTTTTTAAACCTTAGGACGATATCCGTTGAAATTACAAATGTTAAGGACCAAAATTGAACTTTACTCTTTAACAAATTATTGTAAACAAAAAAAAAAAAAAAAAGTAAATTACAGCTTTGGTCCCTATGGTTTACACTTTCTACCCATAGTGGTCCCAAAATCAAAATAAATATGGATATGGTACACGACACACGCACGCTAACACCATTGTACCCTACCACCTACTTCGGTCTAGTCACCTTGTCTGACGAGTACCACATATCCGACCACCACATAAAATAATAGAGGCACAAACCCTTGAAAATCAAACAGAGACACAAGATGTTGGATTTTACCCAAGAACCCATAAACATCAAATTAATACATACAAAACTCATAAAACATCAAACATTATTAGGAGATGAACACAATCATCAAGAGTACAAAAATTATGAAGAGTATTATCATAAATAATAAAAATTATGAAAGACATAAAAAAAGTATAAACAACATCGTATGCATTATTTAAAAACTAATATACAAAACCCTAAATCAACATCAAACTCCTAAAGCTAAAACTCTAAAACCAAAATTCCAAAAAGGAAAATACCACCACCACCATTGAAGTGAACACCACCACCACCACCACCACCACTACCACCATCAACAAACCATTGAAGAAAAACCCCTAATCGAGAAATCAAAACAAAATGATGAAGAAATCAAGACTAAAAATCGAGATGTTGACTTGACCACACCTAAATTGAGACTTAAAGAGATGGTGTTCGATAATGGGAAAGATGGCCCATGGTGGTGAAGTTCGTCGATGAATTTGAAGATGAAGGTGAAGGAGAAGAGATTGTCTCACCTCTGATTGGATCTGCATCGAATTTTTTTTCTTCATCATCGATTGGATTTGGATATATGAATTGGGTTATGGATGAAGGAAGACGATGTCACCAAATGCAAATCAACGGTGGTTTTAGACAAGAGGAAGGGATTATAGACAAGAGGAAGAGGTTTTAGACAAGAGAAAGGGGTTTTAGAGATTAAGGGGAGGATGATCAGAGGAGCGGTGGCCGGAAGGAGGCTGTGTGTTGAGCGGTGGCCAGAAAGAGGCTATGTGCTCGATGGTGTTCCTAAGTTAGATGCTTTTGTATGTGTCTACCTATATATATGTGTGTGTGTGTGTGTGCGCGCGCGTGTGTTTATGTGTGGAAAAGTTCATTTGAGAAGTGTTATATATTTGAGAAGTAAAGAAGTGATCCTACCCCTTCATCTGACCAACATTTGTTGCTTTGACTGTGAAGTATCAGATAATTCCTCGCATGAGTATGTGAAGATAGATGAATAGTTTTATAACTTTTACAAATAGACGAAATCGGGTTCATATGTGAACCCATGTGATACACATATGAACTATATTTTCATATGTAAACCCGTTAATTAGTTCACATGTGAATTATTTAACTGATTCATATATGAACCTGAATCAATTCATATATGAATCACATGGGTTTTATATGTGAATTAGTTAATTAGTTCATATGTGAATCACAGTTCATATGTGAATCAATGAATTGGTTCATATGTGAATCACATGAGTTCATATGTGAATCAATGAATTGGTTCATATGTGAATCAGTTAAAATAGTTCATATGTGAATTACACGAGTTCACATGTGAATATATAATTCATATGTGAATCACATATGAATATATAATTCATATGTGTATCACATAGGTTCATATATGAACCCGTTTGCAATCTATTTGTAAAAGTTACGAAACTACCCTCTCTATTTTTCGCTTAACCGCAATTTTTGACCAGTTAAAGGCGTAATTATTGACCAATCAAAGCATAATTATAGAGCAGTCAAATCCGATTTTGACCGTATAAATGGCTAAGATCACTTCTTACTTCTCAAATATTTACCACTTCTCAAAATAACCTTTGGCTATATGTGTGTGTGTGTGTGTGTATATATATATATATGTATATATATACTATCATCTTTTTAATTGTTTAATAGGATAAATACAAATCAAGATAGAAAGACTAAAATACCCCTAGATTTCACTGTGTTAACGGAATCTTTGATTTCGTTACAGGGAAGGATTTAACAGTTGCGAAAATATCAACCAGAAGTCCTATATCTGTATTTATTTTGATTTTGGGATCATTATAGGTAGAAAGTTTAAACTAAAGGGACCAAATCCGTAATTTACTTGTAAAAAAATATTGTTACACTTTGTGAAGTTAAAAAATATAGATGTGTTATTGAAAATCTAATTAATTTTATTTACACATAAATACATCAAGAATATTCTATTTTTGATATAGGAAATAGTATAATGGGTTGAAAAAGAATTAATGTTTAATTAATACCCATTTATTAAAAAAAAATTATCTAATGCATTAGAGATGGTTTTATTCAGCAACATTTAGAAGTTGTTTATTTAATGTTTATCTGGTTTATAAGTGCTTATTCGCTATCGGTAATAATCAATACTTTCACTTAACTTATAGGGTAAGATTTTAGTCCATTAAAACATCGTACACAACATTTTTATCATGTAAGTGTTTACCAGTTAAGAATCGTTATTCCCACTTACCGTGTATGACTCTCGGTCCTTGTAATCGTTCTTATCGGATAAATTCTCAATCATTGTCATGTTTATCTGATAAGATGAAATAACCAAAAAACACTTATCGTTTAATAAGCAACCATGGACGGACCTTCCATCGTGGTTACGGCGGCACGTGCCACTGTATTATTCCTCCGTCAAAGGGTAAAATAATTTAAGTTCGTGAAAGGTGCAACCGTATTAATCTGTTGTGTGACATCGTATGTATTTTGAAACTACAATGAGAACAAGTTTTATATGGTAGAGTTATGGGCCGTTTATTAAACATTTGCTTGGTAAGTACTTACCTGATAAATTTCCTCATCAGATGAACATGAGAAGTGTCAAGAATCTTACTAGGTAAGAGCGATGAGAATGATGGAGAGTCTTACCTGGTAAGTGATGATGACGACTCTTACCCACTAAATTGTTGCATTCGATATGTTTTAATATACTAAAATCTTACACATCAAAATAAATCATAGTGTTGACTCCTATCGGTAAGCGCTTGCCGGATAAGCAATTGGGTAAACGGCCCCTTAGTTTGCAAGACTCTTATTCTACCTCAGACCCAAGTTCAAATCTTGTTAGTATCATTTTCTTAGTCAAATAGTGTCATCAATTGAAAAAAATTCCGTATATTTGTTTTATATATTTAAACGGTGCCACTGTTTGAAATTTTTTCCCTATAGTTTTTTTTTATAGTCAAATGATACTACCATTTGAAAAAAATTCTTAGTCCGTCCCGGTAAGCACTTACATTTTATTATTTTATTTTCTGTTTATTTATATATTTTATTTTATTTTCTGTTTATTTTTATTTTTATTCCAATTCCTTTTTTACTGTCCTAATCATGATGGTCGTTAGCTATGTCTATAATTAGTTTAGTTGTGGGGGCTGAAGCTGGAGCTGAACGTGGCTGTCATGAAGCTTGGTAGGGGCCATGCCTTCTCTAGTGAGCCTAATTTAAGTTTTAATAATTTACACAACTACTCCCTAGGTTATTCAATATGACAAAAACACCCCCTAAGGTTTAGATAAGTGATCTTTTTGTGGTTTCGATATTGTTAAATGACAACTTCTTTCTTAGGTATCTTCTAACTATATAAAAGAAAGAAGCATGCTTAGTTGTTGGATTCAGGCTGAGCATAATCACATACGTGTTTACGT